TAACGTAAACGTAAAGTACGTTAACGTTAATTTTAACGTAAACGTAAAGTACGTTAACGTTAATTTTAACGTAAACGTAAAGTACGTTAACGTTAATTCTAACGTAACGTTAATGTGACAGTCCTAATTAGAGGTCGGGACCAAACCTTTTTGGTCCCGGTCCCGTGGAAAGAACTCATTTTTGGTCCCGGTCCCGTAAATATTTTTTCAAAGTAACGCAGGTAGTTTGAAAGTCAGCGCGTTGTAATGCGGGGCGTGGGACAACGTGTGTGGGTGGTAATTAATTGAGAACTTTAGAATTTTGTGTGAGTTTTTTCTCGCAAAATTAATACCTGGATACAAACAAGCACCGAAAATAAGAAATTTTTATAGTCTATACACGGCTATTTTCAAAAAAATCTGGTACCAGTCCCATTAAAAGTCGCGTGGGACCGGGACCATCCCACAGGACCGGAACCGTCTCGCAGACCTCTAGCTCTGATAGACCTACCCAACACGATCATTAATTATTCTGTTTATAACCAACGTACTTCTGATATTAACTCACTATACGCTTTCGTAATTATAATTCAACTCTAAAATGCCTTTTTTGATGCTTTGCATTTGATCATCCGAAGCAGGTGATAAAAAATACACAAAATATAAGTACTAATACGACAGCATATTCTGATGAAATTAAATATGTAACCTTTCTACTAAAAACAAACATTTTTTATTCTTACGGAGCGATTTCACCGTATAAAACTCATACAAGGATAAAATAATTCAAGTTATTGGCAAAAAAGTATTAAAGGATTATAATAATTAATATTAAACTCTTGTGGTAGATGGCTATGAATCAACGTATAACAACTGCCTTATTACCATTTTTGTTAAATATTTTCGAAATGCTTCAATTTCCCAAATTTGCTATGTTGATTTTCCTTAAAACGTGATCCTCAATCATTCTGTATTTTCTAAATTCAATTGAAAATTCTAACTATATAATAGCCATTTTTTGCACTACCCTTTCTCGAATAAGTAGATGTTGACAAATCTGTTATAAATATCGACTCTCAGCAAACTAGTCAGTCCTACACAACGAAGAAATACCATTGTGCATAAAAGCTAATAATAAACTTCTGAATAAATGTGATAGCATTTGTCATGCTATAATAAAGAAAGACGATCGACAAATGGTACCGTCGCCACTATACTTTGGATCTACTCGTCCAGTGTGTCAGTCTCTTAATAGACCTGACGATCTTTTTTACTGACCCCGATAGAAATGCAGAGGCCATTTTTCTTGAGTTTTCGATTCTCCCAGAAAGTCTTACTTTCACTTATAATTTATTTTAGAGAAAAACTACCGTAAAATAGGATATTTGTAAAATATGCTAACACTCACTAATAGTCCCGAATTAAAATCTGATACTGCTAGAAGATAGAGTTTGTCGAGTGGGTTATACTAGCATCGAATAATATTCAGATGGATACTACGCAACAGCCGAAAATTAGTCACTAACACCCAAAAGGGTATCAACACCTCTCTACACTCTATAAAAAACGTGTCCTCGGCTTGTCCGGTTAACGGTACCCATGCATCACCAAAGTTTTCTTTGTAGTCATCTGTAAATTTGTACCGATGACATCTAGGGCTGTCAGATTTAACGTTAATTAACGTTAATTTTCGTTTAACGTTAACGTAAAATACGTTAACGTTAATTTTAACGTAAACGTAAACTACGTTAACGTTAATTTTAACGTAAACGTAAAGTACGTTGACCTTAATTTTAACGTAAAGTTAATGTGACAGTCCTAGCTTTAGTCACATATAGGGCTGTCAGATTTAACGTTAATTAACGTTAATTTTCGTTTAACGTTAACGTATTTTACGTTAACGTTAATTCTAACGTAAACGTAAAGTACGTTAACGTTAATTTTAACGTAAACGTAAAGTACGTTAACGTTAATTTTAACGTAAACGTAAAGTACGTTAACGTTAATTCTAACGTAACGTTAATGTGACAGTCCTAAATGACATCCTCACTCAAGTTTTCTTTGCAGTGTATATTTAAAAAACTTATCGGATGCAATGAAAGGATGCCATCGCATTACCATAACTTTGATCTATAGATAAACAATCAGGCCCTTGATTAAAATTTCGATCTGATATTTCAAAAGCCCTACGTTATAGCTAAAAACCATCTATTGGACACTCTCATCAATGTCACCTACATTTGGAGAAAATCAGAACTCTTTAACTGCCACTGGAAAGTACTTCAATTTTTGGTCATCACGTTACCGACCGTATAAACGCTGTAGTATTTGAATGATAAGTAGTAATTCGAAATTTTTTACATCATTGATAGAAGCCATCGAGGTGTAATAAATAATAAAACATGTGCTTTTACTTCTGCTCACAAGTGTGAGAAAATAAACGTTGACGCTGAAAATGTGTCGTCGCGTTACAGGTCGTTCTTCAGTTTTTCAAAGAACTGAAAAATCAACGGGGCTTTTGTTCTTCATTTGTCCTAGGTAGAGAACTCAAATTCTGTCAGCTCTCAAGAACTCAGATTTGTTCTTCAGTCTCCAAAGAACGAAAAAAATCAGTTTTTCAAAAATTTAAGAACGAATTTCGAAAAAAAGTAACTTTCTTTGAAAAACTGAAAAACACGTTTTTTTTAGGATGTAACTTTATATTTTAGTAAATATAAACGTAATCTCACATTAAGGATCAAGTAGCGTATAACTGTGTTGAGGTATTAGTGACTAAGTTTCAGCTGTTAGTAGCGTATTAAATATCCATTTAAATATTATTTGATGCTAGTATAACTCATTCGACGAACTCTATCTTTTAACTGTGTCAGATTTTGATCTGGGACTATTAGTAGGTGTTAGCGTATTTTACAAATATCGATAAAAATATGTACCAATACAATAACTAATAACTAATAAAAGAAATAAAACAAAAAAAGATCATTCTCAATATATTTCTCCGTAAATAGAACAATAGCGTTGACTAAGTTTATAAACTTGGGTAATAACAAAACTTGATGCCACGAAAATCTTGTACGCAAATTAATCTAAAAAGTTGAAAAAATCTTGATGGTGTAGTCCTTTGGGTTAACAGTTGATAACCTCCACTGTAATAAAGAAAGTTATATTTAAATAATCTGCTAAATCTTCTCGAATGAGAGAAAGAGAGACTTGAAACCGAAGAACACTCATTTTCGGCTCGGAACTCGTTTTTAAATCTTAAATTTTCTTGACGCATCCCTTTAGTAGATCGTGTGGAAAGTTTTTACAAAAGTAAACTTAATTTGAGAAAATTTTCATGCCAGCTTTCATTGTAATATGATTCATCGTGAAGACATACTTTCGCTGTTTTTCTGTGTTGAAACAAACGAACATGTAAATATAGTTTGGATGAGTGAAAAATTTTTTTGCGACAACCATTTTGTAATAAACACATTTTTAGATAGTGTAGTATGTTACACGCTTGATGTGAATCTTTTATAAGATCATAATCAACGAAATATTTCTAAAGTAGCCAGAGAAACGATTTGTCATGCATCTCTTGTTGATATCATAGCAAATATGTTTTTTCAAAAGCATGAATTCTTTATATTTAAGACATTTGAAATCATAGAAGTTCAAGCTTGATTCATTTTTTTGAGAACAAAAGCTTGATTACACTAAAAAATATATGATAACATAAAAATATGCGACTAGCAACAAAGTCACCGGAAGAAAATAGAATACATATTCTTCACAAGGGTGCCAAAAGCTGAAACCATTATGCAAAAAGAAATATTAAAGCAAAAATTGATAAAAAAGAATAGATATTTTCGATGAATGAACTTTGCTAAACATTTTCTGTGTATCCATGTGAGTTGTAGGTGTCAGTTAATGTTTCGTCTGAAATATGGGACGATTGTTTATAACACGAAAATTTTTTAGGATGATGCTCAATTTTAGTGACAGGAATATATACATAGTTTTCATCTAATAGTAATATCAAATAATTTATATAATTTCTTATACCGAATAAGAAGTTTTCATCATTTTCATCGTGTTTTTTATTTGGAAATACATGAGCAAAATCGACGAGACGAACGTCAGTATGTGGCTCTATACTTTGTTTACCATCGTAAACAATGAGAAGTGATGAAGCAAATAATAATAGCGTTCGTTGTTTATCCATAATTAACTCTAAATCTAATAATCTATTTAATACTTGTTTAATTACATCGCGACGTAATATTGTTGTAGCGCCGTAAAAATGTGCTATAGCATGTATTAATTCGTCTTTATCTAATGTTCGACCACAATGTTTATCATGATATTCGTAAACTTGTTCTCGTTGTCGATACGTTTTCCAACCTAACAGTTGAAAACCGACTTCAGCAGCTGGTGGAAACTTTTTTGCCTGACGTTCAATTTTATCTAAATCAGCTTCAGGATCATAGGTAATTCGTCCAATTTTAATATCGGCTATGCATGGTAATTCAAATGGTTGAATGATGTTTTCCAATATTAAATAAGTCATATTTTTAAATTCGTATGTACCGAGATATTTTGGTAAAAAGTTCCTAATATTTAACAAATCTTGTTCACTATATGATGATGAGGACGTATTTTGAAAGACATCGACATAAAATCGATATTCTCGAGGACCACGTGGTGGATTTAACAATGGTTTTAACACATCTCCGTTTGATCGTTGTAGTAGTCCAAATTTTGTTTTAGATAAACCATAAAAATGACCAGCTACTTGATGTTCTAACGGTTTTGTATTCGGTGGTAATTCTGGCAGTAAAAATTCACAATGATCATCAACAGACATCTAGAATAATTCAAGATAATATAATAAATTAAGAAGAATAACCCTAAAGTAGTGGCGTAATTCGATAACGAGTAACAACAATAAAAACTTTAATTTAAGTAATTTCGTTCCTTATTAGATAAAAGCAGTTGATAAAAAAAATTTTTTTTATCTTTTAATCTTTTAATTATCCTATTAATATCGTGTAGCATTTAGAAGGAGAGTAAGTGCTTCAAAAACAGATGATTGACGAACGGTTGTTCGATCTCCCGAGAAAATGTGTTTGCTTGAAAGTGTTTTATAACCGCGACATGCAAGTCCAAAATAAACGAGTCCAACAGGTTTTGTATCCGATCCACCACCAGGTCCAGCAATACCAGTGATCGATACAGCAAGATGAACTGCTGGAACTTTATTAAGTACACCATCAGCCATTGACAGAGCTACTTCGTGACTAACAGCACCAACAGAAGCTAAGAGCTCGCTGGGTACACCAAGAAGACGAATTTTTGCATCGTTCGAATATGTCAGAAATCCACAGTCGACGACATCAGAAGAACCAGCAAGAGCTGTTAGTGATCCACTAACAAGACCACCAGTACACGATTCAGCTATGCCAATTTTCCACCTACGTTCACGGCATCTATCAATAACTTCTTTGGTTAAACTTGTCAACAATTCTACTTCTTGTGTCTGTTGGACATTGTCAAACTGTAACTGTCTGATTGAACTATGACGATGTGTACTTGGTGAGATATTGTTAACCTTTAGTAAACTATTATAAAGACAATTAACCACTGTTCTTGTTTTTATTAATACATTCATCTAGAAAAGCAGTTGGAAATACTCAACTTAAGCTTACTTATCATTACTTAACAAAATATTCCTCTTTCCCTTAGAATTTATGAAAATCATTTCACTATAACTTAACTGCCCCTGTCTCTTGAATACAAGAAAAAAGACATATTCGTTAAAAATAATAAAGTAGATGAAAAAAACATGATCCTACCGATTTCATTTTAGTAATAGTTAATGTCCGTAATTCATTGAATAATATGTTGAAACATCTACAAATAAATTATTGAATTTTTCAATGTAAAAAGTATGTTTTTAATCACACCTTACTACAGTCTAAAATCCTGATGCACCAAGAAAACAGGACCCTTCTGTGTGTTTTTCAAAATGCCTGAATTATGATTTATCATTTGACAGTGGAAGAAAATATATAGATACAGTTCTTTTTCTATCAAAAACCAATTAAAACAAATGATGGACATAAAATTTTAGTTTGGAAATTGGACTGTGCTCCTGTTGTACCTCACTTTCGTCTGTATCATGTAAATATTTTCTTTATACATTCATTTTTGTTTTCATCAAGTTGAGAATAAAAGCAATTTGTGACAAAAACTACATGAAAAAAAAAATATTAACATAACATTAAAAGTTTTTTTCTCAAGAAAACAAAGGCTACTAAGTGAGAGAGAACGTATAGAACGTAATAATAAAATGAATACAGAAAAACCACGAACAACTTTTTCTCTTGCACAACTGATAAGAAGAAAAAAAAAACCTAATAATTTAGATTTATAAAAACACATGTGAGATATAGAAAGAAAACAGATTATAAAAGAATCAACATATAAAAAGTCAAGTTCAATAAGTCTGAGTTATCTGTTTTTGACAATTATCTTTTCTATAAATTTAATTTTGTTGAGCAAATTGGTCCAATAGCCATATGTTCATTATCAGATTGATATACAGAGCTAATATAATGATATCCATCGTGAAACATAATAGATTGACAATCATTCCTATTATCTGAATATTAAAATAAAAGGTGAATATAACATAATCAGTAGACAAGACACAAAAAAAGCTTACCATTAAATAAAAATAATGTTCTTTTATTCAGTTCATGTATGCTTATAAACCAAACATGACTATTATTATTATTATTATTATTAACAACGTTATGATGGAAAATGTATATAATTCCGTCTTTATCCTATGTTGACATGTCATATTGGGATCAAATATTATATAATGTTTATAATTAAAATCTTTGAATTAACAAGACACTATGTTAATGATTAACACATATTTAGATTATTTAAACGAATTTCATTGAAATTTGTATCAGATATATCGTATTTCGATAATATTGTTATTAATAAACATTTTGATAATAACCATTGCTCAATAACCATAGTACCACTTATGAAATATAAATTATCACCTAAAAATTAAAATTTTGATACTCTATATTTAGCATCGAAGAAATAAAACAGCATCACGAATTGTTATGTAAATGTAGCACTTATAGAATTGATGTTTCTCATCTCTTTACACCAACCAACTGGTATGATAATTCTTTTATTCTCTTTTAATTTGACTGAACTGTTAGTTTATTGCAAGATTGTATCTGATGCGATGCTGCCGTTATGATGTAGGACCTGAGTGGAGTCCGTTTCCACTTCTATTTGAACGAACAACGCTATACTAGCCATATATTATAATGGCATGACTCCATCAGATACAATCATGCAATAAACTAACAGTTCATAAATCAACAACATTCAAATTATTGTGTAATTCAACTTCGACTGCTATTTGTTCTAAATCAAGCAATTTAAATAATCGTCTATTATGTACTAATAATTGACCATTGACATCACTACATAGCCATATTCGTCGATCGATTCGTTTCTAAATGATAGATTTGGATAGGTTGTTGTTGAAATATTAATTGTAAGTTTTGCCGTTGTTCTTGTATTTGATAGGTTATTTGTCCAATTAATTTGATATTAAAATCAATTTTAATTATAAATAGTGTAGATAACGAACGAACGTTGTTGTAACAAACATTTTAATTGAATTAATGCAGTTGTTAAACAACTGCCATGTTTCTGATGTTTATAAAATTCACATATTTTGTCATTATTTGTTTATATCATTATTGTTACGATAGATGAAGTTGTTTCAATTTCAGACGTTTTTGTTCATCAATACGTTGTATGTGATCAATCATCTCTAACTAAAATGACGTCCTACTTAAATTATACATTCAATAGCAAATTTTATTGAATTGATGTATATTTTTCGTTGTTTAACAATAGAAATAGAAAAAAACATTATCTTCATCGTACGTTTTTCAAGAGCACTTTCCTGCTCATTCATCTAATTTTAAATAATAGTTTAACCATTGTTTATCAGATAAGACTTGAAACGATCTTCTATCAAATTTTTTTATTAGATTTAATTTATATTCAAATTATTCTAAATTCCGATGTTTAGACATATGTTTAAGACACATTTCATTATTTAACGAACGTGGGAATGTTTATAGTTCACGCTGTCTGTGCATTAACTATACATATTATTCAAAAATGATTGCCCTTAATGTATAAAAATGTAGGCATGTTGTAGATGATAAAACGTGCCCATTATTTTCACTACCAGTAGTAGAATTAAACATGTTACTTTTTGTACTATCATTTGTTTATGGGGTCGTTACAATCTTGAGGGACAAGATCTAGGTCGTGTTTCATAGAATTATAAGGTCCCCCTCCCTCATAAGTAGGTGCAAACATTTTTCATAGCTTTAGACTTTCTTTCAATGAATAAATGTGTCAAACTTCCTGCCTGACTGCTATCACACTAAAGTCTTGATCGTTCTATTCTGTCTGAAGCATAAGTCTTCTTCTCATTACTCTTTATACAAAGAGAAGAAGAATAAATCTGCTTCTATTCAAAGAGAAATAACATCAAGAAAAACTATCCTTTTTTATATTTTTATTCAAGTTCAATAGGAAATCTAAATGCAAACAAAAGCTAATTTAACAGGAAAAAGTCCGCATCACTAAAACCGTCTAGTGAGAGAGAATCAAAGGATGGTGTTAAATTCGATGCGTCTGTCCCCAAACTGTTACTATTTTCCTCATGTTCAATTTGATTAGTTGTTTCCATCAGTTCAGTAGATGGTATGTTGATCAATATTTCTAATAACTGCTTTATTTTATCATGTATTATTCCATTTTCATTTATTATTGTCGTTTTTGATTTTAATTGGCAATCGTCAAAACCACTTAATAAACCTTTGACATCATGACGACAATGTCCTTTCGCTGGATAACGTTTCAATTGTTTATAAATATCTTCAAATGTATGAATACTTAATAAATGATGACCGACTAATGCTTGACAGGTAAACGTTGTTGAACAAGATACAATCGGACAAATGAAACAAATATCTTTGTGTTGAATTCTACAAAGAAAAAAAAAAGAAGTTAAACTACAGTAGAAAACGTTTTTAAACTAGACATTGGCTCAGCATATTCAGCGCTACTCAGACTATCCTAATATTTTTAATACTTTTTTGTCTTACACTTACTTGTAATGTTGTCGAAGATTTCTTAAATGAGAAAATTTCTTTCCGCAATTTTCGTTTTCGCAAACGTAAGAATTATTATGTATTTTACTATTTCTATGTTGATTTAAATACGTTAAACATTGAAATGTTTGATCACATAAATCGCATTTATAAGCTATAATGAATTAAATGAAATGCATACATTACTTTATCTTCATTTCAAAGTGAACAAATTAAAATAAAAGGAACGAACAATTCAAATCGATTCCATGATTGTCTACACGTTTCTTCGTCTAGTTTACATGCGTGTTTAGTAAACGTCATGTTTTTTTATTTAGACCGAAAAAAAACTCGTGTAACATGAAATATGTGCTTCATGGAAATACAGCAGTACGATCTGAATCAAGCTCAAGTTCCTTAAAAGAAAACGTTTCTACTTACCTTTGTCAACATGTTTTTCAACACGTGACAATACATTTTTTGATTGTACCAATCGTGAGCTGATAAAATAGAAAATAAAAGACATTGAAAAGAGGGCAAATATAGCATAAGAGACAAATATAAAGGATGGATGGCAACACAGTTGGCATTCAAAGGTAGTGCCCCATCCTTGTACTAACCAAGACAGAGCCGATTGAACAAAAGAAGTATAGTGCCTAGTATAGTGCCTGAAATAAGTAGAAAATTGGTAACACATCTGATTCAAATTGTTGATAGAAAGATCGGTATAGGTAGCATGTCCTTTTATTAACATGGTTATTCTTCAAACTATGAGAAAAGGTGGGCAGCTGGACGCCAGATCTAGTTTTAGGAAGAAACTTTAGTTATCCTTTGTTTACATGAGCAAAAACCGATTTTTGGACAGAACTGAAAAACACACGTATTATTCTTCCTTACCACCATGAACTTTTCGATGATGAGATAATTGCTTAAGTGTTGGAAAAACTTTTGGACAATCTATACATCTAAAAAACAAAAACAAAAACAATGATGATGAAAACTGAAGTAGAAATATTCCTTTTTTTTCTCATACTTGTATTCACCAGGTGTACCGCCATGACTATCAGTCAAATGAGAATGGAAAGCCTTAACACCAACTACGATTACATCACAATATGGGCACTAAAATAAAACGAGAAGAGTAAAAACAGATGATACACAGAAAGAATATTTAAACTTACTTTCATTTTCTTTCCATTGAATGTATGTGAATTTCTTACATGTCGGTCAAGATTCTTTTTACTTACAAAAACTTTTGTACAATCGTCAACGGGACAACGAAATCTAGAAAACAGACAATATTAAGTTGTATAAGTAATGATTTTTCTTCTGAGAACTGTTTTATTTCTTCAAATAGAATAAGTTAAAATATAACTTTCAATTCATTGCATGATCGCATCTAAGGGAAGGCGAACATTATCGTGTCGTTGTAAATGAGACTTCGTCTGATTTTTAGTTTGAGTTAGTTACGACAAATGAAGTAGTTGTTTATACAGACATTGTTGGGGAAGTTTACTAGCAACGAGAAAACTTACGTTAAAGAATTATTTGTGTTTGTTGGTTGTACTGGTTGATGAACTTTTCGATAATGACGATTAGCATGATCTTTGCTTGAATATGGTTTTCCACAGACAATACATTCGTACGGATACTAGAATAGACAAAAACAACAAACATTAGGAACACAATCGCAGTCGACTATTAAAAACATAGCTTTTACCTGTTTTTTGTGCGAAAACTCGATATGTTGATGTAATTTATTTGGTCTTGCAAAAGCTTTATCACATATGGAACATTTATGAACTTTTTTGTTGATCTTTCTTGTGTTTGAAGTAATGAACACGTCAGACTCTGTATGTAAATTTGCCATCTGAAATACACGAAAAAAAAGGAAGTATAACTTCTGTCATAGCTTGTTTTAGTCGTTCTTTCCCTAAAAGTCGAGCCCTATATAAAAGTTTTTTTGGTCCACATCCATAGAAAACCGTTGAAACTCGTTAACTATCTACTGCCTAACAGACAGCCCTGAATAAAAGATACAGAAACGAAAAAGTATTAAAAGACACGCCAGAACTAATGAGCGCAGACCTAACCGTTACATCAATATTCTTGATTCAGCTCTTAGTTGCTTCTTAATGTTTCGTCAACAATCTTAAATGTCAAGCTGGATCTGCGTTTTGAGTTAAATGGTCATAACTCAAATTGAGCATTACTCAAGTTCATGAACTTAAGAATATTTATGAAACACAAGAGTGTTTTGTTTCTCCTATGATGTACAAGAAAAAATGAGTTAAAACTGTTTCCGTAGTTTCAAAAAGTAGCTGAACGCTTCACCAACAGAACGAAATTGAAACATATCGCCATAATCCGAGCAGAGTAACGTCCAACACAAGCGATAAAACTAGAATCAAGAATAATCAGTTCAAAATCTGATGATTTTGTGCGTGCCTCTTTATCAAAAAGACTGTTATCTTTACAAAGGGCAAGAGCGACGTGATACTATTACTGTATCGCCTGTTGTTACCAAAACAACGACGCTGCTTTGTCTTTTTCATTATGGTTATAGGATTATACTCTTCATCAAGAATTATAGAAAAAAGTGATTTTTATGAGTTTATGTAACGTCAAGGTAGCCTAGTACTACCTCAATCTGAATTTTACAAAGCTTCATATCAAGCAGTTCATACTGCATATAGTTTACTAAAATTTAGATAAAATTATTCGTTTTAATTTCTCTTAAGTCGATTAACTGCTTATCTTCAAAAAGGAACATCTTTAAAAATAGAACACCATTATGAAGCTACGCAGTGATTGTAGATCATCTTTACTTTACCCTTTTAACTTCTTTCTCATAAGAAAGTGAATCAGTGGCAACTAAAATGCGGTAATATATATAGCTTTTAAACTTTGCAATTATGACGATTCATGACTCATTAATTATGTGTCTTCTTTTAACCTTTGTGTTCCGTCTCATGTAGTTCTTATTTTTTACCTGACAGAAAGAGCGAAAACATATTCTCCTCTGCTTTTATTTATCATAGGCATGTATAGTTTATTTAATGACAGAATGACAGACGTGAATTGACAACTATTCTGAATTTTTTTCGTGCATGTCCTTACAATTCTGACAAAACCGTGCTGTTTAATCAGTTTTTTGTCACTACTTTTCACTAGTAAAAGAATCTTAGCAGAGTGTCTAATCAGAAATACACACGCATTTCGGTTTTCTTCTGTTCTAGTCACTTCACGTTAATTTTTGAATACTAGTGCCGTTCGGCTGTAAACAATCAAAGGAATGTAGCAGGAACAAAGAACCCGAAAACAACGTATAGTATTCAAGTCATCCTTCTTCAAACAGGAAAAATAACAAAGAGAATTTTTTGTGCAGGTGAAAAAAATTCATTTTTGAAAGTCGGAACCCACTTGGCTCGCTTGTCCCACCAATCATTTTATACGGTGAGATACTTACAGAAAAACATTACCGAATAATGTCACTACAATCAATGTAAAAAGTCCTAAAACTGTGTTGATTACGAACCCCTGTTCTACACGTTTTCTTCTGACCTATCTTCAGTCGCAAAAAGCAAGAAGCCCTTTGCTTTACTGCATTCTGTTTTAGCGTGTTAGATGGCGTCTGTCGCAATCATTATTTCACAACTCATTCATCTTCTAAATACTCTTGGTGGTATTTTCGTCATATTTAAAAAATTTCACTTAAGCTCTTTCTGTTTCTGTCTAAATAATTTTGACTCTCCTTTGAAAGCTGTACGGCCAGCAAGATTTGACGTTTGAACCTCTTTGCAGGGAGAGTACAACACACAGTATGGTTGCTAAAAAAAGAGGATATGATGATGTATATAGATAAGTCATGAACCGAATATGTCAATGATTTAAGATTTCTCCTCCAGTTTTATTTGAGAACATCTTTTCCTCGTTAAATCATAAAATCGTGAATTTTTAGCCTTCGAAGGATTCTGGTGACAGAAGTATACATTTTTTTGTGACTTATTTTAATAAAACTTTTGAAAACAGAATTCATTCTTTTCTTTTCGAAACTCTGTAATTTTTCTAAAATCTTTTTCCTCGACTACATTTGCAGGGAAGTTGTTCTTTTTTTTTCGAGAAAAGTTGCTGAATGTTTGTTAAACAACAGATATAAAATAGTTCTTATATTCGTATTGTGACTGAGAAAAGTTCATTTTATCGCTCTGTCTTCTAGAATTGACAATCAAAATATATACTTTCTTTTCGAACAAATATGGTACTCATTGACGATGTTTCAAGCCAAAATAACAATACAGCAAATGGTAGTCAACCGCAACCTTCCGCACCACCTCCTCCCTCGCCTTCTGGTTCATCAAGAAACATTATTAATGTATTAATGGAACGAAAAATTGATTCCATTTTGTTATTATCACGTTTGGCAACAATATTTTTTAGTATTCTCTATGTTTTACCAATAAATCCTGGTGGTTCAAATGCGAATGTCTATTATCAAAAAGCATTAATGAGTTCAGCAGTCACATCAGCATTACGTCTACGTCAACGAATACCATATTTTCAATTTTCACGTGATTTTTTATCCAATTTATTTCGAGAAGATTCTGCTCATTATCTCATGTATTCATTATTGTTTCTCTCTGGTAGTCCAATGACAATTGTTCTCATACCAATAACGTGTTATGCTCTTCTACATTCATGTTCATTTCTTCTAAATATTTTATCACAATATGAACAAATTGTGCGTCTATTATCAAAAGTAACGGAAAAACATATCATACTATTACGTTTTGTGGCTTTGAATGAAATTTTGTTAATGCCAATCTTGCTGTTATCAATTTTTGTTGCACGTGCCAATTTTTTGCTAATATTTATGTATTATCGTTTTTTAACGTTAAGATATTCATCACAACGTAATCCATATACGAGACAAATCTTTACCGAATTAAGAATCAATGCCGAACAGCTTATTCAAAGACCACAATGTCCACAAGTTGTTCGACGTTTATGTGAAAATGCGATTGGTTTTATTTCAAGATTGGCACCGGTTGTAGGATAAATGCATTAAAAAAAAATCTAAATACATGTTTCTATCTCCTTCTGATTTTGCAATTCTTTTGTATCTCTTGTACCACTTTTCATTTTTGAACTCTACAAAATCATAGTTACTCGCATAGAGAATTTTTAGATCAAATACAGTTTGTCACGGTACATTTTTCTTATCTAATTCTTTTTTCCGTCTTTTTTGAGTGTCTCATTGACTAAAGGAGAAGAAGTTGTTGTATTGCAATATTTTTCATTTATTTCGAGCTCAAATCTCGTTCTTGTTGTTGTACAATAATTACATTTTCTGAGTTAAACGTCTAGGCTCCTGGTTTTTAATTTACTTTTTCACTTTTCTGTGTTTGATGTCGTGAGATTTGGATCGTATTTCAACTGTGTGTTATGTTTCGATTTTTTCGTATTGCTGCTTTTGTCTTGTGAATGTGTATTTCTCTACATATTTATATTCATAAAAAGAACATTAAAAAAATATTCATTTGTTCCCGCTGATTACTGATTATCAGTCTCAAACGAAGAAATAAGGTGTTACACACACAGATATTAACTCTCTAATGGTTCCTTAACAATTAGGAGGTTGAGAAGTCCAATTATGTATGCTCATAGTCGCTTTCTTTCGTTAGATATTAAACCTCTTATCCAACAGTAATTCGTGATGAACTTAGTAATGTTGTAGTAATTTAATCTATTCTAAGATAAAGAGCAATTCTATTGTTTTGTTTTCTCTTTATTTTTTAGATGGATTATTAGATCTTTTTACTTTAGTTACACGCTACTAATGATGGACGTTTACGGTTGGACACATCACTGATAATTTTTACGTCGTTATTGAATGGCCAGAACATTTTCTGTGACTGATGACGATTCAATAAGTGAACAAGCAATTGATATGGTTCGAGTCAACTTACAAAAAATACCGGCAACTACGCAAAATAGTAATACAAATTTAACAACAGAATATGATCAAACAGATGACCAACAACAAACAATTATTAATGATTTTCTGTTACCAATGAATATGGGTAGGCTAATTTACCTATACAACTTCGATGACATTTTGTTTATTTGTATCTTTCTTACATTTTAGGTTTAATGCATGATGCAAACAGAGAGTATGAACAACCAAACTTAAGCACATTTAGAAAGGTACAGTATGACAGACACGAGTTGACCTTTGAATCATGTTTTTGTTTTCTCGAATTAGATTGAATATTTACTGGAAAAAATGCAAGATGAAAACAATGGTCTTCCAATTAAGTCTGTTAAAAGTTTTATGTCAAAAATTCCATCAGTATTTACCGGTACGTGATTTTGTTTTCACGGCACCTTTAACGCAGTTTTATTAAAGTCTTTTTCTCTTTGCTTAAGGCGCAGATTTGATTCAGTGGATATTGAAGAATCTTGATGTAGATGATACGAGTAAGATATTTCATAGTCGCGATAGATGTCTAAGTTTAATTGACTGTACTTTCTTGTTCTAGTTGATGCGCTCCATCTAGGAAATTTAATATCGGCACATGGATATGTAGGGATCACTGTATATTAAAAATGATTTGATTTAATGTTTTTTTTGGCTTTAAGGTTCTTCCGATTGATGATCATGTGCTAACTGTAAAAAATGATGGAACATTTTATCGCTTTCAAGTATGAAAAACATCACAGACATATAAATTTTAAGTGTATAATTTTTAAATTTATAGACTCCATATTTTTGGCCATCAAATCATGTTGAACCAAATAATATCGATTATGGTAAGCAGATATAGATAAATTTATGGTTTATATGTTTGTACAATGTCGTTGCGTATGTTTCAGCTTATTGTGAGAATATAAAGAGGTATGCTGTCACTGCTGCTATTATTAACTACTCTAGTTGTCAACTAACTCTATAACAATCGTTCTTCACTTTGAGATATCATAATGGTTGATAATTATTCTTTTTTTTTCTCGTAGCTGTTTATCTGTGTAAAAGAACTATGCAGAATAAAACAAGATTAGAATTAGCAGATTATGAAGCTGAAAATTTGGCACGTTTACAAAAACTATTTGCAAGAAAATGGGAATTTATTTATATGCAAGCAGAAGCACAAATCAAGTATGTCAAAGTTTTAATTCCTTTTTCTCATTTAGACAAATTGTCCTTCTATTTAACTTTGTTACTGATTGATCAAATTCATTTTATTCTACTTAGAGTTGATAAAAAACGCGATAAAGTTGAACGGAATGTATTAGATAGTCAAGAGCGAGCATTCTGGGATGTTTATCGGGCAGCACCTGGTTGTATCAATATGACAGATCAAGATATCAAAAAATTAATGAGACGTAAAACGAGTAATGCTGGTTTTCATATTACTTCACATTCATCATCAAATAATCGACGTTCATCATCAACCACATCAACTCCAGCACCTGCCTCAGCATTAGCAGCAGCTGCCAATCGAAATTTAATTACATTAACAGGTGAGTATCGATTCATCTTTTATTACACATAAGAAAATGTCGGTAGTTATCTTTTAGCCAGTCTTTTTTCTTCTGTACCACCTCCGGCTGCTCGACCCACACAAGCACCATCACCACCAGCGTTACGTGAATGTGATGAAACACGAGAAATTGATAATTTAGTTCATGAAATTGAATTTTTAAAACGTCGCATCGAACGTCGTTGTTTAAAAACATCAAAAGTATGCGAAAGTTATATTAATTATTATGAACAGTATTCCGAATTCGATCCTTTTATGACTACATGTGAACCAAGTAATCCGTGGATATCTGATTCTATTGATTTATGGGAATTAGAAAAATTTGGTTCACGTGATATATCATCGAGACGAGTGAAACGATGGGGCTTTTCCATTATTGAACTATTAAAAGATTCTGTTGGACGCGATCATTTTTGGAAATTTTTAGACAAAGAATACAGTAGCGAAAATTTAAGATTTTATGAAGCATGTATTCAGTTAAGATTTCATATACCACAAAAAGATGTGGCGAATAAAGTAAAAGAAATTTATAATGAATTTTTATCACCGGGTAGGTGAATTTAAACAAATAGTTATATATCGTCATATGACTATTTTATTTTTCTTCAGGAGCCTATTATTCAATTAATATTGATCAAAGAATAATGAATTTAACCAAACAAAATATGAGTAATCATTCAAGTAGATACACATTTGATGAAGCTCAAGTGAGTAGTCGTAGTAGTAGTAGTAGTAATAGTATGATATTCTGAATTCTTCTCACAATGTTACTCTTGTATTTGATATTAATTACTTTAGGAACATATTTTTAATTTAATGACACGTGATACTTATAATCGATTTCTACGTTCGGAACTTTATAAAGAATTACTTATGGGTGGTAAAAAGAAGGTAAGAGAATAAAAATGATCTCTAGTCACAGATTGTGTGTATGTGTATATTTCTTTAATGATACGTAACAATCACGTGTTGTCTGATATCACATTGGCAAAATCAACAAGACTATTGTGTGTGTTTGACTTTTTTTTCTAGCTATCAAAAAAATATTGAGAGAGCAGTAATTAAAAATTGTTTTTTTTGTAATTCTTGTGTGTGAGTATTTCATAATTTAATATAATAAGCTTTTTCAATTCAAATGCATCTATCTATTATCTTTTTTTTAATCCACATCTTTTTTTCCAGTTTGTTGTTTATTTCACCTTATTTATAAGCATATACACACAGCATTTTGAGCGGATAATGAGCTTGAGCATTCAAAATGTAAATAAAAGCTTGCTGGTAAACAAATATTTTCTTCACATCAGTTGTAGATCCTCTTTCATTTCCAAATATTTTTTAACGGAACTAATAGTTTCAATTCGGCGCATGTCCAGACCAGATTGACCAGATTACTCTTTGTTTTAATTTATTTTATTGACTATATAAATTACTCAACGTCTGGTTTTCATACGTACATGCTTCATTAATTCATTTCTTATACCTGCACTTGCACTCTTTATTTATTATTTCACATGAAAACCACAACATTTGTACGCACATTTACGAGATACATAATGCATTATGGTTGCTTGTGTTGCTCTTTTTTCTACGTCAAAAAATTCTTCTTTTATTTTTAACTTGTATTTTCTTTTCTATCTAGTATGGTCTCAAAACGGGACGTTTATCAATTGTCCGACCATTGGAAAACTTGACCAAATTTTCAACATCACAATCACAATGACTGGAAGAATATGATAAATCGAACACAATCCATTATTTTTTATATATATTTTTTCTCTATTAGATGAATCTAGTCAAATTAGAATTGTTTTTGTGTGCTTTTTTGTGTCTATAAACCTTTTTATTCGTGTTTTCTTGTGTATTTTAGCAAAACATACCTTGTTTATTTTTGCTCATTTGTACGCCTAGACTTATGTATACAATTGGATAATTAAAACGGAAAAGACTGGTAGTCAAGTGGAATGACGGAATTTGACGTGCCAGAGCATTTCTTCAAAATATCAAACTAACTTTCATTCTTGACTTATAGAACTGTTAATGTCGTCGTCACCCTACTTGTATGATCCTCAATGTACTATTCAAGTAGACGATGTTTTATTATAGACACTATAGGTCAACTGTGCGTTTTTCATCAAAGATGGCATCGATTCTGAGCGATTTCTTGAACAGGTATAATCAATCCATTATCGTTTTTGGAAGCGACATCAGTCGTCTTGTCTAGTTATAGCTCAAATATCTACCCGAAACAATAAGTGCAGCAGTCGAGAGAATTCTGTTTGACGGGAGAAACCATTATAAGGAATCTGCGTGTAGAACGAAAAAAATAATTTATTACAAAAAACGAAGAAGCAAACAATCTGAAATATATCTCACTGTTGGAAACCTCAAAGAACATTATTAGTTGTTTCTTGGACATTTTAGACGATCCATAATTTCATTTGTGTTGAATAATATTTTTCTTGTCGTCGTTGCTGTTGTTTAACATGAACACGTTCAGGCTGATTTAAATATAACAAATGTTTTAAATCGATTCGATTTAAAATTTTTTGCGATACGTAATATGGAGATGATGAAAGTGATAAACGAATTGATCTTGCTCTCTTTTTCACCGGTGTAGACGTTAATGGTGGCGATTTGAAAGCAGGTTTTGGAGTCGAAGTGATACGAGCATATAGTTCAAATGATCGTGGACTCGTGAGATCAAGGTTCATTCTAAAAATTAGAGAGGGGAAAAGTTTACATTAGGCTACAATGAAAGAAACAAGCAACTGCATTATAACACTGCCACTATATATACCTCAATAGATTAAAAAATATTACAGATTCCTAATTGTTCTTCGAGTATTCAAAATAAAAAGTAACCGTAGTCAAACTAGTATCTACAGAGAATATATACATACTTTGTTCAACTATATGACACATAAATGGTTTTTATATAGTAATGTCTATTAAATGACGAACGATTCGATTGTAACGAAGAGATTATATATAAATTCCTCTCACATACAGAATGAAAATGAAAATGAAAATACACGCTTTCTTCTTTTCTGAAGGAGGGTCATTATCAATTAGCACTTTACCGTGATCAGTTACGTTAATAAAGTGAACGTATTACAAGATTGTGTTCGAAATTGTCAATTTATGATAATTTCCCAGCTTTTTCCTGATCGTAAACAATATTTATTTCTATACGTAATGGAAAACAAAGAGTTTCATTTACTTCTTTCTATGGCATACAAAATAGACACTTTCAACGATACGAGCCATACGACTTTTTATAGCACATAGTAATGCGCGAAACCTCTCCTTTTTCTTTGAAACCTACTAAAGAATGTTTTGGGCCGAACACAAAAATGGTTTTGATCTGAAACTCCCAAGGATTCAGTTTGGACAAAAACATCCAAGTAAAAATTGGTATTTATGACGTCCTTCTGCCAAAATCAGCAACTCAAATATTAAAAAATCTTGAAGACTGAAAAAATGTCAATCATAAAAACATGGTGATGTCATGACCATTTATCGGAAATAAAGTATTATAAACGAATTCCTTCCTGT